GATCTGCAGTACACGTGAGTAATCGCACAGCGTCGCCCTCCTTGCTAAAAGAACCTTCCCTGCCCAAGGATCGCGTCTGAGTTCTATTGTGTTGCAGCTTCGTCAACGACGCCGGCCAGGAGGTGAGAGTGGAGGTCGAGGCCAAGCGCCTGGGCCTGTCCCTTCGGAGACATCCCGACTCGGAGCTGGACGTCGAGAAGGAAGTCATTTCCGACGGCGAGGAAGCTTCTGACGACGCCGCGAGCGCTCGCCGGGTCGCCGCCGTTCCGGCAGCGAAAGCTCCTGCCGTCTCACCCCGCTACGCTCAGGCCGAGGCCGCCCCGCGAACTCGACTCGTCCAAGCTGCTCCTCGCAGACAAGTGGAAACTCGCTTCGTTCAAGTGGGAGCCGTTCCTGCTCCTCAGCCTGAGGTGAAGACGCGCTTCGTTCAGGTTCCTGCTCCCCAGCCTCAAGTGGAAACGCGTTTCATCCAAGTGGAGGCCGTTCCTGCTCCTCGGCGTGAAGTGGAAACACGTTTTGTCCAAGTGGAGGCTGTTCCTGCTCCTCGACGTGAAGTGGAAACACGTTTCGTCCAAGTAGAGGCCGTTCCTGCTCCTCAGCGTGAAGTCGAAACGCGTTTCGTCCACGTTCCCGTTCCCCAGCCCGAAGTGGAAACGCGTTTCGTCCAAGTGGAGGCCGCTCCTGCTCCTCCCAGTTTCGTCCAAGTACAAGCTGTCGCTGCTCCTCGCCGCGAGGTGGAAACTCGCTTCATTCAGGTCGGGGCTGCTTCTCAGGGCGCCAGCTACTCCGCCGGGCGCCGCGGTCGGCGCCCCGCCCTCCGAGGCCGCTTCTCCCACTCGTCCGCCGACGACAGCGCCGAGAAGTGAGCGCAGGGCGTTGCAGCCGATGTCTTCGCTGTTGGTTTACTTAAAATATTATGCGTTTTATATGTTCCTTGTTTCAGTGACCCTTACTACCCATTTTCTCAATCACTTCAGAATAATACGTGTCATATCTTATATGAGGTACTTCTTAAGAATATAAAACAACCAAACAGAAAAATCATTCCAAAGACTAATACAATTGATCTTAGCATAAAATTTATGCATGTATGTATGTATGAATGTATACATGCATATATGTATGTATGCATCCTGATAGCTACTTGAGGTAAAAACAATTTCACTTTCTCAAGTTTAATAACAATAATCACATACTGCAAAACGCTGAAAAGTGCTGAAAGCCGTACTTGCCTTTGTATTAATCGCTCAGGATTCTGTCACGGAGACCTATTTAGAATTGAGACCTGTTGTCTGAATACTAAATCGTCGTTTTATCAGTGTCAGATGTGTTCGGCAAATATATTCCTCGTGATTTCTATACTTCCAAATTATACAACAGTTCGAAGAAAGAAAAGAAGAAAAACATGCATCGATTTTATGATCTGGATCGAAAACAACTGGAGAATGCTTTTGCATATATGTGGTAAGGCCTAACAACCTCATCCCCTTTATCACTACCTCTTGAGGACCCCGGGCAAGCTCTCAAGGAATCAAAGGGTTCCGGGGAATCCTGTGATGAAGTCTGATTTAGAATTTCATTCTCTGCTTCAATCCTGTGAAAAAAAAATATTGTGACAGGAAACTTGAAGAATCAATCCATATTACACCGAAAAAGAATGTGCTTCAGCTATGCAGGAGCCTCGTTACTTTTTCATTCTAAAATTTGCATATCGTACATATTGTTTATTAGAGTCTGTTTCAAATAAAAAGACCTTGCCTGGGTCTTCTGACCGCCGATTCTTTATCCCAACATCTACTTTTGGACATTTTTCTGATTTAAGGATTTCCTGTCTTATAATATAGAGATTTTGTGTGATTTTTATTCCCAGTAAACAGCGTATATTCCATACCTACTTCCTCATTTTTTTTTTAAGTTCATATTCATAAGGAAATGTAAGAAGGTAAAAAGTAGATAATCAAATAAATATCTAGTGGGTATGGGATATTTACTACATGTGAGAATAAGCGAAATCCATACATGATCTTGACTTTGGAACTATCATATTGTAGCTGTCCAGTGAGACCGCCTGGCGATACGCATTACAGCAGGCCATTCGAGCAAGGCCGAAGAATGCCGATAAAAAAAGTCACCATGAGAAAAGCGAAGGAATGGATGGAAATGAAGGTACAATGCTGATGAGGTGATACGCAGACGCGGAAATTATATCACCCGGGTGGACGGATCAACTCCCTGTACCGCTTTAGGAAGTGATATGATGAAAATGGTCACGACACCTGAGCATACCCAATGAAGGACTACAAGACAAAAGTGGATATTAAATGGAAAACAAATTATATGGAAAAAAGAGAGTAAATGTTAACGATAAAATACGATAAAATATATATATATATATATATATATATATATATATATATATATATATATATATATATGTATACTTAAAAAGATAAAACCCAAGCCAGGACTGTGATGTTAGAATTTTGGAAAGCATGATGAGGAAACATTAAGAAAGTGAAAATGGATTCTTCCAATCTGTGACACCCTTTATCATACACAAGGCTGAATAGATTACATTCAAGATTACACCCTTTTCAATGGGTACCTTTCACCCATTCAATTCTGAAAGGTATTTTGAATGTTAAGAGGTTTAGTTGGCCATTACAGAGCATTTTGTGCAGTTGCTCAGGGCTTAGGGCAGTTTTATTATTATCATATCGGTACTGAATGTATGTTTAGCAGCTCTAGTGGTGAGGGATTTTCAAAAGTAGTAGAGGATATTACCTTTTGTAATTTTAATATTTTTTCATATTTTTTTTAGATTCTAATCTAGAAATGTATCTTTTTTTTTCATAACTAGTCTTTCATTTAAATCTTCTAGAACCTTGCTTTAATGCTGTTGATACCTATTCAGTGGATTTTTTCCACGAAAAAACGAACTAAACTTATAATACTGTCTACAGTTTTTTGAATAGATACGCTAACCTAAAATAACAAGAGAAAGCCAGGCACTAACATATAAATACATAATATAACGTATTACTAAAATAACTGAGTTCCTAGCAGTGAACTCTTACCCATGAATCTGGGAACAAATAATCGACTTCAATAAGGCGACTATAAACTACCTTTTCTAATACTTGTTGATAGATGTGAAATTATATATATATATATATATATATATATATACATTTTATATATATATATATATATATATATATATATATATATATATATACACATATATACATTATATTATATATATATATATATATTATATATATATATATATATATATATACACATATCATAGATTATATAATATATATATATATAATATATCATATATATTGTATAGTGTTCATACAAATATATATATATATATATATATAATATAATATATATATATATATATAATATATATATATATATATATATATGCATGTATGACACACACACACACTAACATATATATAATATATTCCATACACACACACATTGACATTATATATATATGTATATATATATATATATATATATATATATATATATATATATACATATACTATATATATATATATATATATATATATATATATATATATATATATATATATATTTACCTATATATATATATATATAATATATATATATATATATAATAAGCATATATATATATATATATATATATATATATATATATATATATATAACTTACAACCGAACATGCTCACCATCCCGGTAACTCAAGTGAGTCACTAGCTTTGGGCGGAACTACTTCTTTGTCAGACCAACTCTATTTTGTTTGCAAGCGCTGACTCACCGCCTTTGGTTTCGCATCCCCAGTTTGCTGTCCCGCTGACCTTTCGGCGCGGCTGGTGTAGCGGTGCTGAGCGGCCCGGCTGGACCGGGGATGAATGAACTACGCAAGGAAACGAAGGCAGCTCTCCCCCCCTCCGATATCCCTGTCTGGATTCCTGTTGCGGCGAGGTATTTAAAGGCGACGAAGGAGGTCGACTTCGCAGTCTGCAGTGAGGACCGACGCCGAAGGAAACCTGAAGGCTTTGCTCCGATTTTTGGGATGAATATTGTATGTCGACGCCTCGTCATCGACACAAATATGCTTCTTTCCTCTGATTCAGCTGTGCTTTCCTCTGCATAATGGACGAGTTAAGGTGTGGGAAGATGTAACACTGAACAATCATGAACTGCATACATAAACGATAATTTTCCTCCACCTTCAGGTCGTGCTGCTTTCGCTGGTGGGTGTGGCTGCTTGCAGCACCTCCCTCATCGGGGCGGATCGAGCCAGGGACGTCGACCTCAAATACACGTAAGTTTTACGCCTCCCTCTTTCTCTATCTGTGTCTACATATTGATGAACACATTTCTCCCTTTCCTCACCCTCTGCCCGTTCTCTTCCTCGGAAGACTAACGGGTTTCGAGAGGAGCGAGTTCGTAGCCTTTTCTAACATGGCGATGTTTCTTTCAGTTACGTTAACGACGAAGGAAAGGAAGTGCGAGTCAAGGTCGAGGCCGAGCGCCTGGGCCTGTCCCTCCGGAGGCAGCCCGACTCGGAGCTGGACGTCGAGAAGGAGGTCATTTCTGACGGCGAGGAAGCTTCTGACGACGCCGCGAGCGCTCGCCGCGTCGCTGCCGTTCCGGCAGCGAAAGCTTCTGCCGTCCCACCCCGCTACGCTCAGGCCGAGACCGCCCCGCGAACTCGCCTCGTCCAAAAAGCTTCTCGCAGACAAGAAACTCGCTTCGTTCAAGTGGGAGCCGTTCCTGCTCCTCAGCCTGAGGTGAAGACACGCTTCGTTCAGGCACCTGCTCCCCAGCCTCAAGTGGAAACGCGTTTCGTCCAAGTGGAGGCCGTTCCTGCTCCTCGCCGCGAGGTGGAAACACGTTTCGTCCAAGTAGAAGCTGTCCCTTCATTCTACGAAGCGGAAACGCGTTTCGTCCAAGTGGAGGCCGTTCCTGCACCTCGGCGTGAAGTGGAA